CGTAATAAATGTTGGGTATTTTAATTTAAATGTAATTAAAAATTCTTATTTGGTGCGATCTGGCCATAATGGAAAATCTTATAAAAAACGCTTACTTTGAGGCGTTCTCACACTGGAATAAGTGGGGCATCCTTGAACTCTTTAAATTTATACATATACATATGTACATATGTATTTGTGAAACAAATTTATTTGAAAAATAAAAAAAGTAGAAATATACTTTTTTCTACAAGTGCATTTCTTACAAAAACAAGATTTCATATTTTCGGACTATATTAATTGTAGCATAAATTTTATATACCCATTAAAATAATAAATTTATTATGAGCAATGATATTTTGATTTCTGCTTGTATTAATTTATTACATTTAAGACTTCGCTTATTCGAAAATCTATTGTGTTAAATTTTTTTTTGCAAATTAAGAATATTAAACTAAAAATATAAATTTTTTGGAAAAATTTATTAAATTCGCAGTTCATTATTAAATAACTTTACAGTCAGTTAAGGGTAACAACTATTTTTCTTAGCGCATAACTTACCTATGTGTTATTCATAAAAAAAAAAGGATGAAATAAAAATTATGCTCAAAACTATATATTGCTCTAACAGACGTATGTTCGCTCTTTTGCAAACATGTGTATACATATGATATGGTTTGTGCATATATACAGGTGCAATTGAATACATTTGAATTAAATTACTTTTTCAAAGTAATATTCGTAGTTAATGTGAAAATAAAGAATATTTTTTAATTATTTTTTGTATTTGATATATTCATACTTATGTGTATACTTCATTATATATGTATGTATATAACAAACTATCATAATATTATTAAAACAATTAAATATCTTACAGTTGTGATAAATGTACATTAATAGTACATTTTGTCATTAAAATCTCATATTCACATGTATCATGACCGCACATACCTACATACGCATGTGTTTATGTTCGCTTTCGTGAATTCAAATCATATTATCACTTAGCAATAATAACATGTGCGCGCATTGGCACACAAATAACGCGTACACAACATATGTACATTCTTCTATGCGTTCACATGTAGRTATGTATGTCACCCGCAGAAACTACAAACAGTTCTTTACAAAAACAACAATCGTTTGAAATAGCATCTTACATACTTATATGCGTACACCTGTAGATATGTCACCCGCAAAAATTACAAATACTGTTATACAAAAACAACAATCGTTTCAAATAGCATCAGCAGCGTCACAAGCCAAGTTTGTAGAATAACACACTACAACAACTTTTTCATTCATGAACGCAAGCGCACTTTCAACAGGCAAACTCGCTTCGTTCATAAAAGCAAACACCATCTCCCCGAGTCTGTCTTTGCCAACAAGCGTATTTTCGAGACACAATCTACGCCGTCTATCGATCGTATTGTGTGAATGATTAAAGTCCACCGTGAACAAATTGATTGGACCTTATCAGTGTGGCTTTAGACCTGGCAAATCAGATATTCGCCACGCGCCACATCTTGGAAAAAACCCGTGATTTCAATGCTGCTTTCGAGACCACGAAACGAAGCAGCCTTTATGCCGCGATGTCTGAATTTGGTATCCCTGCCAAACTAATACGGCTGTGTAAACTGACGTTGAGCAACACTAAAAGCTCCGTCAGAATAGGGAAGAACTTCTACGACCCGTTCGATACCAAACGAGGTTTCAGACAAGGCGACTCCCTATCGTGCGAATTCTTCAACCTGCTGCTTTAGATAATAATTCGAGCTGCAAAACTACATAGAGAAGGTACCATCTTCTATAAAAGTGTACAGCTGCTGGCGTATTCCGATGATATTAATATCATCAGCSTCAACACTCAAGTCGTTAGTTCTGCTTTCTCCAGACTGGACAAGGAAGCAAAGCAGATGGATCTGGCAGTGAACGATAGCAAGACGAATATCTCCTGTCATCAAACAAACAGTCCTCGCACTCGCGACTTGGCTCTAATGTCACTAGTGACAATCAGAACTTTGAAGTTGTAGATAGTTTCGTATATTTGGGAACCAGCATAAACAAAACCAGGATAACTCTTGCCAACAGGTGGTACTTCGGCTAAGGCAATTGAGAATAAAAGTTGAGAAATAAAGTCCTCTCTCGACGAACAAATGCCAAACTCTATAAGTCGCTCGTAATTCCCGTCCTGCTCCATGGTGCAGAGGATTGGACGATGACATCAACTGATGAGTCGATGTTTTAGGTTTTGAAGAGAAAGTTCTGCGAAAGATTTATGGTCCTTGGCTTCACTTGGAATATCTTTTTTGTTTGCTTTTGTAAACTAGTTAGGTTCTTCTTATGGTCAACTATGTTTTACAGAAAACTTGTCGGTAGGTTACGGTCACAACGGTCATCGCGCTTGCTATGGGATATTTGTTTGGTTGTTCATTGGTCGTATCAGTCAACCTTTTCCTTACGAATAAATCAATTGAAATTTTTATTTAATTTATTTTTACTTCTTTTTTGAGGTTTACATGTTTATACATAAAAGTTATATTTTTAGTTTCTTTTTTTTCCAAAATTTCCAGTAATTTATTTAATTTGAACTATTAATATTGAGTAATTTATATAAAATAATAATAGTGATTTGTACCCATTTGAGATGTTTGCTCCGAAATTTCCAAATATTTAAAAAGAATAGAAAGAATTAAATTATATTTTGTCTGTATTTGTTTAGGCATCTATATTAAACTTTAAAAATAAATACTATAGTTACTACTTAATTTTGTGTGCTCCAGCTGGTACTCATCCAAGTAGGATATGCAAATTTCTTCACCAACTTGCATAGGTGCTACCGCTTTCAACACAACTGTGTCGTTTGAATAAGGAAATGTCGAATGAGCTTCTGGTACACAAACACCCTTAGTTTTGAGAAATTCAGCCGGGACTTTAATGAATGAATATGTAGTATACGTGTGAAATAATAATATGAAAAACAATTTTCAGAAACATTACACTTACAGCAGCTAATAGCTCGTCCGCAAATGCTGTAAAAAAAAATGGTCCATTTTTTCTTCTAAGTGTATTGGCCAAGCGACGCACATTTTATATATGTATGTAACTGCATACATCAGAATTTCTATCTGCAATTAGAAGCAATTCCATACATTTTTAGGAACAACAAATAATGAAGTACTTACATATACCTACATATATGTACACACAATGTTATGTTGTTTGATGACACAGCAGCACATCTTCGCCAAGGTTCCTAATGGTTGCTGCAAACCCGTATCACAAATCAACTATTATCGAAACTAAAAAAATAAAAATGGAAACAATAAAAACTCTTTGTAACACTAGGTACATACAGCCACATTCAATAATAGTGGTTCTGTAAATCATTTGGCGTACATTCTTCACTATGGAGTCAATCGCATTTTCTTATTGAGATTACTAGCTACTCTTGTTTTTCTCTTTTTAGCGTGCTGTATGCACACGGAGACTCACCCAAATCTTACAGCATACATATTTACGTCGAATTGTTGCATGGTGTTCGTAAGATCCACGATTTTTTAATAACTGCAGCTTTTTTTATTGAATTAGCCTGGGAATCTGCTGCTACTGATGGCAGATTTGAGAGAAGTTGTTAGAAGCCTGCTATAACAGGTCCTCATGGCACTTGGTCGTAATTTCGCAATTRTACAATGACTGCTACATAAAATTTCAATAATATATCAAAAATATTTAATACTTCTTCTTCCAATTATTCGGGTTTTTAATAAAATATTTGTAACAATGGCGTCAATTTGTATAGGATTCATTGTCAGTATGTGCGTCTCATTCTTAAACATTCAAACATTTCGTATGATGAATGTTGCTGTTTTAAACAATTTTAGGGATTGTTAACCGATTTGATAACCAATGTATGTCATTCTGTTAACCAAAACACAACAAACAAGATACACATATAAGATGTAACTTAGGATAAGACAGCGTTCCATATTCACAATTAGTCTATCTAATGGAACATTGAAGAAATGGCGATGTGTTACTTTTTCCAACTATGAACAAGAATAAAAATAGCTTACAGCCCTATTCTCATTTTACTTCCTTATGAATAAAAAGAAATATACATATGTATTTATATTTAAGTAATTTCGACAAAATTATTGTCTACATGAGCTTCAGTCACCGAACACCTAACCACAGCAATAATCCCGCATCAATAGCACTTTACATTCACCGCTTAAAAATATACGTGACTAATCCGCTACATTCACCACACTCACATCGACATCACCTACAATCCCACACATCACACATAACTACGATACCACAGCATTTTCCACCACAGCAAAAAGGGAACAAAAAGTACGGAGAAACAAGCTCGTTACTTCTTTTTTGCGATCCGCAGACGAAAGCCGTGCTACTCATGCCTCGAGTTCTAATTTATGCGAATATTCAGTTTTTTGAAAAGAAAAAAATGCGTATTAAAAATTTGTATCAAACATCTAAATTCCTTTTTATTAAAACCATCTTGTAAAATTCTTGCGGAATTGTTGTATCAAACATCTAAACTCCGTTTTAATAAAACAAACTTCTGAAATTCATGCGGAATTATTGTGATTTCTCCTATTTGATAAAATTAAAAAAGTTGAGTGTGTGGAAATTACTCGTAATCAACAATTATGTTTGTAAATATGGTGCATATATAATTTAATTTATTTTTAGGATTTCAAAATGTATATAATTTAAGTATGAATAGATTTTTTTCGCGCATGTATCAAATAATATATACATACATATTTAAAAATAAAATCCAATATTGTCCAAATTTTTTTAAACCTAAATATGTATATTTCTTTTATTTATACTCAGAAGGAAGTAAAATGTACAAAATCCGTTAGTGACATATTTATTGTAATAAGCAAATACTTATATTTATAATAGATAACGCTTTTGAAATACTTCCTCCATTCTATTTAAATAAAATAATTCCACATTTCTTTAAAAACATTGAAATTAACAAAACAATCACAACCGATTGAGCATTGTGAGGCTTGTTTTCAGACATCACAAATTTGTGAGATAATTGCGAGCATTTGTGTTTTTGAAATCACCCCCTCTCACAAAACCTCACAATATTGTTGGTAGTGTTTTTAGTGAGGGGACGAGAATAAAAGTAGCTATACACGACACACATATGCGCATGCGGTTTACTAGTGTATGGGCTTGTGGGCATACATGTCCATGTTCGCGAAAATGTTTTATTTTTTACGATCGGTGTGCGCACATGTGTGTCGTTTATGGCTCTGTGTGCACAAAAAATCTCATTTCTCTGGTGTCGCCGAACAGTGAAGATCGCGGACGAACATTGTTAAATGTTAGAGGGAGAGTTGGGAGGGAAAGAATTAATTGATTCAAGCGAAATTTCAAGGCTTTATATACATATATATCTTTGACATTCTGCATTTTTCGGACGGAAGGCAGGATGCAATTCGCAATTGCTATCGAAAACAAAATATTTAAAGAGATTCATATTTGTTAATAACTTATGTTCAAGTTAAACTAGGAAATTTAAAAAAAAAGTGTAAAATTCTAAAAAATTTTAAAATTTGAAAGAAAGTAGTTTTTGACCAAAAAAAATTTTACTTTATATTGTTTAAACATACATGTGTTCAAACTTAACTTTTTTATTTATTTTTCAGTTTAAATAGAAGATAATTTAATGCCAAAGATAAAAAACTTTGCTCCAATTCTATACGACGTTTAGTTTTTTCGTATCCTGCCCGTCAATTAAGACTAATCGTAAAAATTAAAAACCGAGAAATCACGCTTAAAACTTTTAGCTTTTTACCCAAGCGCTCATATATCTGCTAGACGCTCGGTTAGTATTTCCCTTCTAGCTTCGATAATATTTCGAATTCCCATCTATAACTTTRTGGATATATTTTGACAGTTTTTAAAGAGATTTCGGCAAAAAAAAAAAAACGATTGTTTTAAGCTTCCAAAGCAGACTACCGCATTAATAAAGATTTCGTATCAGAAATTATTGATCTTAAAAAAATTAGTTAGCAATTTGGGAAACGAGACGTGATATATATAAAAATAAAATTGAGCAAAATTAAAGATGGAATAACTTATTGACAAATACAAAAAAATAGATAAAAGTGCTACGTTAGAAAAATTCCAAGAAATCTATCGCTTGCCTGTCGTACATGTTCACTGTRAAGAACGAACGCAAAATGGATTTGTGTGTCGTGTATGGGCGAAACAAATTCACACAGATCGAACGTATCTCGTGTATGGCCCCTTTAAGGCTGTTAACCTCACAACGAACCTCAAAAATTTTTCCTAACAAATCACTTGTGAGGTTTTCCCAGAATAGGGCTTATGCAAAGGTGAACAATAACAAGTCGTTCGCTAACAGATACCCATCTTGCAAGTTAAACGTTCGATATTGTACTGTTATACAGTCTCAAGTCTCTAAATTTGAGATTTTAAGTTAAATTCTATTCAGTATATTCAAAATGGCAAACAAGAGTTCTTTTTAGTTTTGTGACCTGCTAACTACCGCTAGAGACTGTTTAGTCAATAGTAATTAGGCACAAATTGAGACTTTACCTCAAAATGTCTCAAATAGTGACTAGTGACTAGAGACTGCTTACAGAATTCCACTATAACTTTTACCCGTTGCTGTTGTTGTTGTTTTAACKGTTATCTAATCCCCGATTGGGTGGTAAGGGTCATTTGCGTTGTTGTCGAGATCATGTAACTGGAGGCCCAGGAAATGTGCTGTTTCGACGGGGTCGGGCCAACGGGAAGAGGGTGTTAGATGAGTAGGGTTAATAGGGCATGCAAAAAGGTGGCCAGTATCATGCGAGGACTGGTTGCATGCAGGACATAGATTGGGAACGTTTCTCGCGCCAACTGGAGCTCTTCATCTGCAATAGGTGGTGGTTTGACTCCAAGAACGTCATTCACGGGAAGGGAGTCGGTGAAGGTGTTGATGGCTCCTCTGCGTTCCACTGCATCCAGGCGACCATATTGAGAAGAAGCATAGACTATCGAAAGTTACGCCTAAAATGGTAGTGGGGCTGTGACAGTCGGAATTTTTACTCCATCGACTGCAATATTAAGCTCAAGTCTATACTCCTTCGTCCAGTTCATGAATATGGTCGCTGTGGATTTGGTGGGGGAAAGTGTGAGGTTTCGTGCAGTGAGGAAACGAGAAAGGTCGGAGAGGTAGTTGTTTACTTTCGAAGATATGCCATCGATTCCATTGCCCGACATCAATATTGTCAGTCATCAGCTTACGAGGTTATGGAAACCCCCTCTGGTGGTTGCGAGAGTTTCCAGATGTAGAAGTTAAACAGTAGCGGGGAGAGGACACCACCCTGCGGAACCTCCTGTTTAATTCTTCTCAGTTTGGATGTTTTACCTCGAAATAGTACGGATGACTGACAACCGCTCAAATAATTCATGTTCCGCCTCTTTAACCCTGGAGGAAGCCTAGTTTTTTCAATGTCCTGCTTTAGCGTTGTGTGGTTGACTGTGTCCAAAGCTTTTAACAAGTCCAACGCTACGAGGTTCGTTCTCTCAAAGGGTGGCTTCTGGTTGAAGCCACGAATTATTATATCTGTGCGTTTATGACGCTAAGTGCCGTGGTGGGGCTGTGCACTTTTCGGAATCCATGCTGGTGACTGGCTGGGCTCAGGAGGTGAGTGAAAGTTGGGAGAAACAAGGCCTCCAGTATCTTCACTACTGGGGAGAGGAGCGTTATCGGGCGACAAGATTCCCCTTTGTTGGCGGGTTTCCCAGGTTTCAGTAGTGGGACCACTCTTCCGATTTTCCACACATCGGGTATTTGAAGAGTGGTCAGTGACAGGTTGAGGACCTTGGTGAGGTTTAGCATTAGCATGCTGATTCCATCAGCGCCAATGGATTTGGATGATTTTGCTTTTTTGATGACACTCTGAACCTCTTCATCGGTGAAAGCAAGCGGCCCGCAGTTGTTTGGCATTTTGCGCAGCCGTCGGTTAACACATCTCTTGGCTTTGTCTACCGAAGAATGCAGTGTAAACTGCCGGCTAAGATAGCTCGCGCACTTCATCGGTTCCGAGGACCCGCACATGATCGTTGAATTGAATTTCAACTCGGTCGTCATGTCTCTTCGAGTTAGACAAAGCTTTAACAGTAGCCCACAGCTTACTCACGCCGGTGGAGAGGTTGCAGGACTTCAGGTGCTCTATCCATTTCGTCCGCTTATGGTGGTTTACCATACACCGAATTTACAAATTGAAATCACTTATTCGGGGATCTCCGGGATCGGCATGGCGTAAGGGGAAATTGGGGCGTATTTCCGCTATTCTTCCAGCCGGGATGAAGCGAGTGGTAACTGCTGCGATCACTTTGCGGTATTGACGTTCGCCAATGCATATGTCCGTAGGAATAGGTAGAGCGTTGAAGGTGCTCTCGGTAAATTCTGTGATGCCGACCCAATTAGCTTTTTTAAAGTTAATGTAGGTGCGGTTGTCCACTGAAACGAAATCGGGAGGTTATGCTATTTATCAGACCACCCCTAGCGATTGTAATATCGGGCGAGCTAGTACAAGTGCCCATAACTCTGGTGGAGGCTTCATCATTCATTGTGCAGAATGTCAAATCGTCAATCTGTTCYGCCAGCTCCATCCCCCTACGATCATTTGACAGGCCAAAGATCGTCTTGCGCGTTCAAGTCCATTAGCACCAAACGGTTTTCACCACGAAGTAGCGCACCTATATTCAGGTTATATCTTGTAGGGCAACATGTAACTGGGGGGATGCATATATTAAATATTTCGAGCTCGACATCGCCTGACCGGATAGCTATGCCCTGACATTCTAGGGTAGTATCCCTGCGGTCGATGTACTCATCGATTAGACGATACTACACGGAGTTGTGTAATATGAAGGCTAGGCCRCTACCATTATCTCGCTCGCGATCTTTACGTAAAACGTTGAAACCGGCACAACTCAGAAGATCTGAGCGGCTTTTTAACTTAGTTTTTTAGACCGCAGCTATCAATACACGTTCCCGATTCTTATGTGCAACTATCTCCTCGATCTTGGTCTGGAGTCCGTTGCAGTTAAATTGGAGTAATCGACGCCACTGTAGTGTGTTGCGCGTCCAGACTCCTGCAGCATGGGGCAACGTAGGAGTCACTCCTCTCACGTGTGGTGCGCAGGCCGGAACACGCCGTGAAGTGACACCAGCCAGTGCAGAAATTGCACTTGACAGATGTTACATTCCGACGTATGACGGTCTGACACRCGGAACACACGGGATGAAAGTTTGGGGGAGGGGGGGACAAGTCAGAGTGGGAGCTATGTTGCCTGTGTGAGCTCCTGACCGTGGAGGCCATCTGTTSGCCACTCAGGTTGAGTGGCGGCGTGGCGCGCGAACTATGTGCATATTGCACAGCCGTAGAGGCTTGGGTCGCAGTATTACGCAGGCAACATAGGACCACGTAACGCATGGTCCACAAACACAAATTAGTACTCAGCGATCCTACCGGGGTTAGATTGCCGAAAAAACAGCCTTTGGTCGGATAAAATTCGAGACAATTCCGGTACGTAGAACCGGGAGTCGTGGGAATTGTATACTTTGTATAAGCCAACAAAAAAAAAAAACGTTTAACCGTCTTGTAGGGTGGATTTATTGTAAGAAAAGTGTGTCAATATACGAAATATATGACACAAGGCATGACAAGGTAATATTGACCGAAGAATACTTGTTTTATGTGAGAAAAGTGTGATCTGCGCGAAAAATATGACAAAAAGCAACACATTTCTTAAAATAAAACATGTATTCCTTGGTCAGTATTTCTGTCGGTGTATTAAGATTTATGTTTTTAACCTCTGAAACCATATTTTTCAGAAGATTAAAGCCTTAAGTTCCCTACTTGTGCAAAGTTTTATATCGACATATCCATTAGTGTTTGATTTGTATAGTGGAAGTAAAAGAATCAGATGGAACTTAAAGTAGTGTTGTATGGGAAGTAGAAGTGGTTTTTGTCCGATTTAGCATAGTATTTGCAATTGGTCGGGTAGTTTCTGAGATATTGGGTTTCACCTATAGGTGGACAGACCCACGCCCATTGTTCAATTTGTATACCTGCTCCTATAAAGCTCTTCACTATCATCTTGGTTGTGAAGTTTAATGCTTGTGGCTAACAATTATAAGGAGTGAGGGCGTTGTTATTGTCATAAGCTTTCCACAGCATATGAAGAAGTGATAAGAAAGCTTTTTTTCTTCAAGTTTAGTTGAGTTAGTTTGAAAGGTAAGATACACATTGTTTATCCCGATCCCCTAAACCAAATTCGGWATATTAATTTAGTGCGTACTATATACGTTTTCGCTTAATAGCAATTTGTGGTCATAGAACATCTACAATACCGATTTCTCTTGGGTGATATCTCACTTTTTACTGATGTGCTGAACACATAGAGCCGGACAGGCTACAAGCGACTTTTGTCAAATATTAAAATACATACGTTATTAAGGACACAGTTATTTACACAGCTGCACGACTACATGACTGCAGACTATTAGTTGTCGCTCTCAATAACTTGAAAATATTTTTAAATTAGCCGGCGACAGTAAAGAGTGATGCCACTAATATGCAAAATGTAAAATTATTCAAACCTAATGTTGTTTTGCAAAGAAAAGCATAAAAACTTGTGTTTTCGTCCATGTAAAATCTGTCAAACGAAAACACAGTTTTCGCTAAAAACTACTTGAAAACTTACATTCCTCTCCTTATAATCGGTGTCTGCTCTAGTTGAATCGATTTTTTTGGAAGGCATATTTTGCCGGCCCTAAATTGTCACTTGATATTTGTTTACATTCCATATAAAAATTCAGCTGCTCACTGCTAAGTCGGCCATTACACGAAGCAACTTTTGTTGCTGATTCTCGGGCGATTCTCTTCTGCCGTTGCCCATTGCATTCACACGAGAAACTTGTGTTGCGCAAATCTGTTCGAGGTTTTTTCTCATTCTCTTTCAGTTTACTTTAACCCATTGTCAACTCTTTACTTTAACCCATTATCGTTTCTTTTTCCTTATAGGTATTTTTTGCCACTCTATCACATATATTAATCAGTTCTGTCAATTAAGAAATACATTTTATTTATARTTCAAAATTAAAACAAAGGTTATATAACAGATCTTCACTATCGTCTGAATCAATTTGTAWGGCTACTCCATACATTTCACAATATCTTTAATTAATTCGATATTTTCGTCATACTCCATTTTCTTAAATATTTATATTATATTATGTATATTTGTATACATATTTGCAAATTACGTACCAAAAGATGAAATTAAATATATTCAAAATATTAATTTCAAAATAATATACGCAAATGCAACTATGTACTACGAAAGAAAGAACACGAATGCAGAAAAACGTCGCAGCGAATTGTTACGAATAAGAACACAAAGCGAGTTGCTGAACACTGGAAACTCGGTGCGACTCTCCTCTCCTCGTCGCCCCCCGCCCTTAAACAAAGAGTTGCCGCAACAAACGTTGCTTCGTGTAATAGCCGACGAAGGGGATTCTCTTGTTCTTGCAAAACCCTTGCAAGGTGCACCAATTGCAGAATTTTCTTCTTGGTGCAACGGCACAACGAACACACTCAAAAATTTATTTGCAATGGCTGTAAAMTATGTTAGTCCAAAACCCTTGTTGCATATTTCGGTATATAATTTTTGCATTTTGTGTCRTCTTGCAAGAGCAAAAGAATCCCCGTATCTTAGCTGTGTGCCCACAATAGTTGTCAGTGAAAACTCATCGAAAACACACATTGTCGGTCCGAACAACTTACATTCCACAACATACAAATGTGTTTTCAAAATGTTTTCAATGTCGCGTCAAACATAGTATTACACAAAATTTAAAACCAAAAGTGAATTTGCCTATAATGTGCGGAACACAATGCTCGCGGCAGACTGCAGCAGCACGACAGTGAACTGAAAACAGCGTTGTGAATCCTACTACAAACGTTTGTGAGAGGGCAGCAACATAACAACGGCCGGCATGTACACAAAACAACCAAGTTGTCCATTTTGCATCTACATAATTTCTTTGTACCATACTAATACCTTGCACTTCAATGAAATTTTAATAATAAGTAAATAGGTAAATTTATTCGTTTCAAATTATCAATTGTTATTACAAATGATGTAACAGAGTTATTTTATGCTTTTATTTGTGAAATAACGTCAAGTTTGTTAGAGCTGTGAATAATTTTACATTTTACATATTAGTGGCATCACCACTCTATCTCATCTCTCTATCTCCCATTCTAATGTCAACTCTACTGTGGTCCTACTGTCATTGGAAAATATAGGATTAAATTGAAGTTAGCGAGAACGACAACTGTCTGCCTGCAGTCGTGTAGTCGTGCAGCTGTCAAAATAGGTCCGTCCATAAGAACGTAGGTATTTTAATATTTGACAGATCTTGTTTGCAGTCTGTCGCGAGTATTGTATTCAAGACATAACGAGCAACAAAATATTTCGTGTGTAAACACACTAAATCAGTTTCTGTACGCCATCTTTCGATACATAGTATAAATCTAATAAATCTGACTTTTAAACAATAATTTCTGCTCTGAACATAATTGTTCTTGAATTTAACATACACAATGGCGTATAATTTTAAAGAAATGTGTTGGAAAGGTTTTGTGAAAATTTTTGAAATATTTAAATAATTATAAAAGCAATACAAATTATTTTCGTGTTTTACCAATTGTAGWTCATAAATAAATTTTCTCTATTTTATTATTGGTAGATGTTCGTGACCAGTTTCGAAAGTGGCGTGAGGACAATGAGCGTCGGAGTGATGAAGTAATACAACTATGGGAAGCACTATTGGAAAATCATGTGCAAAAAACTGGCAATGAGATGCATCTTATATTGGAGCAAGTACTAATTGCAGCATTCGACACTTCTCGGTTAGATATTGCTGGGAAATGCATTGAAACACTAAACATAGAATTTCCTGAAAGTATGAGGGTTATGAAGTTTGAGGCTATGCGCTTAGAAGCTTTGCAGATGTATGAGGAGGCAACTGATTTGTTAGATGAAATTATTTCGAAAGATGAAACAAACGCTGCTCCCCGTAAGCGCAAAATAGCTATTTTAAAAGCAAGGGGATTTAGATCGGAAGCAATTAAAGATTTAAGTGAATATTTAAAAACGTGAGTATATGCTATCATTTTAAGTAAAATTAATTCGTTTGTTTATATTATATTATTCTTTGCAACACCTTCGGCTATGTAAACAAATACACAGGATGAAAACAACTAGAAATATCTTTGCCATTTACACCCACTTTAAAGAACGTGGTGTGAATTGGGTGAGCTGAGTAAATTTAAATAGATATCCAACTTAGAATAATTAAGTATGGGGCACGATTCCAATTTCTTTGGCGGTCGGAAAAAACACGAATTTTGGATAAGGCAGCTTCTCCAGATTATTTTTTTAAATATTCCCGATTAAATATTCAAAAATGTGTATTAATAACACTTAGTGTTTCACAATGTTTCACTAAATTTTTTCACTTTGGTTTTAAACATTTAAATAAGTTGACATCCGAGGGGTAAACCGATTTTCCGTATAAATGGGGAATGTGCGGATAGGAGAGCTTTTCCAGAGGAGGAATATCGAAAAATAATATAAAAATAACTTAAATATTTACGACTAAAAGTTCAAAAATTTGCACTAATAACACATGGTATTTCTCTTTCACTAAATTTAGTCACTTTTTCATTCTGTATATTTAAATATAAACTCTAGACATTGAAATAAGCTCACATATCAATTTGATTTTGTAATATTTTACCTAAGTTTATTAATTTAAAAATTACTTAATACACTCGTCGTTACAAAGCTTAGATTGTTTACAATTATGAGAAAAACGAGCGTTGCCGCATCTTAAACACCAAATATGTAGGATTCTGAACAATTTTCTTATTATTATTATTATTTTTTTTTTCCTTGTTCTACATTAATTAGATTTTTGGCACAATTCCGATTTCTTTGGCGCCGCGATCTGAAGGTACCGTTGGAAAGAGGAAGTCCTCCTGATTAAAAAATATATAGGGTTATAGGTACCGCAAACGCTTAGTTTAGGAGATATTAAAGTTCAAAAATTCGCAAAATTCGTACATTTCAAGACGCTATTTCACCACTTTAAACACACTTCATTCACATTTTTTATTTCATATTAATTAAATTACACTACAAGCTTGTAAATAACTGCATATCTTACACTTTTAGCAGGGTTTTTACCTAAAAAAACTGCATTTTAAAAATTACATTTTACACTCGTTTTAACCCCATTTGTTTACCAAAAATTACGACGAAATGGAGCGCTGCCATGTGATGATAAGGCAATTCGCTGAAATTTCTTTTTTTTCGCAAAAATTAGTCCATTCATGCATATGGATATTTTCTTTTTTAAATTTATTAAGCAAATAAKTAATATTATATACATGTATTAGTAATATTATATAATAATATTACGTTATGAAGTGTAAAGTATATTAGTACAGTGCGAAAATTCAAATTTTATTTCAATATGAGATCATGGTAACCCGCAAATATAGCCACTTTATAACAAAAACTCAATAACCAAAGCAAATATCCGTTCCCACGACAGTCGGGTCTACGAAAACCGGAACGGACCCGGATTTTTATCCGGCCAAGGACTGTCAATTCGGCAGAACTCTGCCGTTACAACAACAACAACAAAAACTCAATATATTTTTTTATTTTTAACGCAGAAAGGAGTACTCGGTGAAAGTACTTCAGTCCCCCCGGGTATTCGCTCGGCCAGGGTTATTTTTTTTAAAGCGCGGCCGAAGGCCGCCAACGCAGAAAGGAGTACTCCGAGAAAGTACTTCAGTGCACCCGGGTATGCGCTCGGCCAGGGTTATTTTTCACAAAATTCGAAAAGTAAATATAGTTCCATAATCTAGCAACAATTTAAATTAGTTATTATTTTATTTAATCATTRGGTTTTTATCCAGTCTGTAGAGGAAATCATTGTACAGAGAAAAAGCGGAAAACGATAAAAAAAATTGAGTAAACTAGGAAAAACTTATAAAGTGATCCAAAAAATTGTTTCCTCAAATGATAGCAAATGCTTTAAATTATAAAAACTAAAATGAAACTTATAGACAAAAGCGCAAAACATACACTGCAGACGACCGCAATATGGTACGCTACTGCAAAATTAATCCTTTTGCTTTAACTCGGAGCATCCATGACGAACTAAATTTGTCAGTTAATACTGAAACTGTTCGTAGGCTTGTGGAGCAGAACAAATTATTTGCCAGAAGTCCACGAGAAACCCCCCTTAAAAGAGAAACACATGGAAGCCCGCATACAATTTGCAAAAGGGCATGGCTCCTGACCTGCGTCTACATGGCGAAACATATTATGGTCAGATGAATCCAAAGTGTAGCTATTTGGTAGTACAGGCTCTAGGAACTTTGTCCGACGTCCCCCCAACTCAGAATATAATCCCCGGTTTACCACAAAAACCGTTATACATAACGATGCCAAATCATGGTACGTGGTCGTTTTTCATATTGTGGTGTTGGTCCAATTAACTTAATTGAAGGAATCATGGACCAAAGACCATATRTCAAAATATTATATGAGGTAATGTTAACACATGCTTCATGAAATATGCCATTGATAAATATACCAGCAAGTAGGCAAAAAAATGGTTTAGTGCCAATTGAGTTGAGGTTATTTGGTGACCTACTCAGTCTCCTGACCTCAACCCCATTGAAAACCTGTGGACAGATATCAAGAAGAAAGTAGCTCAAGAAAAACCAATAAATTCGAGAGTTTTATGGCAAGTAGTGGAAGAGACAAGGAAAGGAATACCAATAAAATGTTGCCAGGGTCTCATAGACTCCATGCCTCGGAGATGCGATGCTGTGTTAAAGAAATCCAGGTTATTCAAGAATATTAGTAACTTTAATATTCTGTGAAACTTTGGAACCATTATATATAATATTAAAATTATAGAACAGTCCCGTATTACATAACATACTCCTATTTTTTTTTTTTTTTTTGAGGAACTAGTTTTTTTGTTTATATGATATAAACTGCGACATAAAATTTTTTTTATGTTTAATTGAAATAGGTGAAATCTCGAAATATTAATAGATCTTTAGCAAATTACATTGTGCAAAAATTWWRAAAAAAAAAACATTTTTGTTAATGAAAATTAACTATTCATTGTTCTCATGTGGTCACTCCTATTTTTTGTGGACAACTTTACATGTACAATATGTGATTTATATTTAATAATTAATCGGTGTGACTAGAAGTACTTACGCGTAGTATTCTTTTTTGCATTGGCGGCCTTCGGCCGCGCTTTAAAAAWATAACCCTCGTCGAGCCAATACCCAGGGTAACTGCAGAACTTTCGCTTATTACTCCTTTCAGCATTTGCTTCCTTCGGACGTGCTCTAAAAAAATAACCCCGGGCAACCTAAGCATTTGATTACGTAATATTATTATATAATATTACCTAGTTGTTTATTAAATTTAAATAAGAAGAAATCCATATGCATGGAAATATTGTTTATGCTCATTTTTATTTGAAATATAATTTACAGACAAACTTGTTTTTATTAGAACTAACGTTGCTAAATAAAGAAAGAGGAATTATATCGAAATCGCTAATATTTGCTTATTATCATATGGCAGCGCTCCATTTTCTCATAATTGTTAGCACGTAAATGATGTTCACTACGAGCGTGAAAAGTAATTTTTAAAATAAAGATTTCTTAGGTAAAAAACCTGCAAAAAGTGAAAAATGTGGATGAATTTAAATATTTCTAGTTTAACTTAATTCTTCTTCTTCTTGATTGGCGCAGACACCGCTGACGCGATTATAGCCGAGTTAACAACAGCGCGCCAGTCGTCTAAGTGAAGCCAGGTCCTTCTCCACTTGGTCCTTCCAACGGAGTGGAGATCTTCCTCTGTTTCCCCCGGCGGGTACTGCGTCGAATACTTTCAGAGCTGGAG